TGGAATCAAACACACAGAAAAGGGAATTTTCTTCAATCCTTTCCTTTTGAGGTCTTGTTTTCATTAAAAAGCAATAACACAAGAAATTACAAAAACAATATAAAGCTAATATAAATATTTATTTTAAGTGAAAACAGCTTTGTTGTAACTGCTTGAGTAGAAGCGCTCTATCCAAGCACTCTCCTTGCTGAGCATTGCCACGTTGTCTGAAGGCAAGAGAAAATCAAGTGTTTCAATCAAGAAAATTCAATCAAGAATTTTCTTCTTTGTTTCTATGCAACTCACAGAAGTGTAGTGGGGGGACCATATACTATATGAACACACAATCTAGGCCGACAGGAAGTAGCACAAACAGCATCAATAATAAATCAGAATAGATAGTAAGCAGTTTATTAGACTTTCCCCAAGGAGTTAACATTGACCATTTGAAATCTTAGAAACAAAACAGAGAGGACGAGTGGAAGCTGCTTGGCAGTTAATCTGCAGTCTATCAGATATACAAAATTAATGAAGTCAGGCATATTTACCAGTTCTGGCTTGTCTTCTCTGTGCATATTAGGGCCTAATTTTACTTTCAACAATTTTGTGTTGACTTTTGAAATTTTCTGTGCAAGGAGCCGCTCTTTCTTCACTCCGGCGTTGTCTCGCAGAGCCCTTCCATTCCTGTCCTGTCCAGAGCTGGGGTTTCTAAAGTGGAAAAAGTTATGCTCTTTAAAAAAAGTCTGATAAAGCTTTTACAGTGTAAACACCCAACTGAAAATAAAGATCAAAATCAGTATTTGTCAGTAGGCAGTTAAAGGGCAGTTGTTAGGAAGTTAAGTGGTACTCCTACGAAATAGAGATATTCCCCAGTTATTGGGAGATTCTGCAGTAATATTCAGGCAATGATATAAGAGAAACTACCAAGGGCTTGCTATACACTTGGCAGATGTGTTCATTTGATTCGCTAGCCCAAATGTCAGTGTTCTTGCTTGCAGCCTTTCCTGTTGCTATTTTAGAGCAGTAGCTAATCATGCTTCCCCAACTACAAACAAGGCACAGAGTGGGGAGGAGACTGCTGAAAGAAGACCAAAAAAAAAAAAGTAAAAAAAAAGAGCTGTATTTAAACAGTTGTGTTTGATTTTGTGTACTAAAAAAAAAAAGAAAAGAAAAAAGAAACTTGGAAAGCTCTTTTCTGCCAGAACACTGGCGCTTTGCAAATGCTGCCAGCACAAACCCCATGCACGAGCCAGCTGACATCAGTGACCAAGGGCACAGTTTGATGCTGGGCATTTTACCCATTTCCCTTCAAACAGGCAGCCTTTTTTCTGGGCCATTGGGCCAGAACAAGCCCGTAAGTAAAAGCAGAACGTTGCCTATGGAAGGTGTGGTGTATGCGAGCTATACAGTGACAGAGCTATGCCAAGAGGATGACTGAGCTTAAGACCAGACCAGATTTGTGGCTTCTTAAGAATCAAAGGGTGTTCTTACATCCTGGATAACTTGTGGGATAGGTGCTCTCCTGACAGAAGGAAACAGTTCAAGTCTTCATCGTTTCTGAGACCTGGAGCCAGCGCCTGGTTCCAGGTGTTGCAGGCACTTGGCCTAGTTCATTAGAGGCCCCTATGGCCAGAGCGGATCACAAGGAAACCTTGTCCAGCCTTTTCCATTCTTGGGAGAGATCAGATCCAGTTACTAAGATTATTTGAGGTTAAATGTTTCTGTGGCATCTTCCAGAGATTGTGAGTTTTCTCCTTGCCCTTTTCTCCTTATATAAAGGCATCATCAAAATACAGGGCTGCCTCTCTGTGCAATTAGAATATTAACTTATTAAAACTAAATTTAACTAAAATTTAACTAAATTAAAACACCGATTGGAAGTAGCTGGGGTTTTGTTTTCACACAGTGTGAGGAGAGCATGTCCTGATGCATCGGCTCTGCTTGTTCCCATTTTCGAAACCTCCAGCCCAGCACCTCACCTGAGCAATCTACTCTGTGTTTATTCAGTAGCTATGTCAGACAGAAAAGAAAAAATGTAAGAAAATACTAGGTATAGTCAAACAGAATCTCTACTTGAATTCTTCTGTGCAGTAAACTTGATGCACAGATCATGGCATTTCCTCAAGCACACAGAAACTGGCCTTCAACATCACTAAGGCAAAGGCTGTTCCAGCGTGGGCCCAACAGTTGCATGAAATAATTATGTCCATGGAAATACAAATCTTGAAAAGTTCAGATCCTCACTAACAAAGAGCAAATGTGTTTGAAACATTCTTGTTTCTCAGGATAATAGCTATATCATTAGGCTAAGCCTTTCGCACTTTCTCTTTTAACCCCTTAGATTTATTTACCAAAAATCATTGCATAGATATGCTCAGACTGCCTTGAAGAACTGCTTGAAACTAAACTGAATTTTTAAGCATGGCAATTCTCTGTCCACTATGTTCAGACTTTTATGAAACCTGTGAGTTGCTTCAACCCTTGCAGCCTCTTTAAATCCTCCATTTGACGTTTTGAAAGTACCAGGTAGGCTCCAATACACACTACACAGAAAGAGCTATTATAAAATTCCTGACTTTTCTTGTTTGCATGACAAAGAGGGAAAGGCAAATCCTCCAATTGGACCAGATAATCACTCTCCTGTGAAAAGCCTACAATCCACATCCTCTGTTTTTCTCCTAGCTGAGCTTCGACTTGCTCAATATTTTTATTTTATGTGTGAAACCCATAAATCACTTTCCAATACACACTGGACAGCAAAGGGTCTTCATCCTAGTAGTTTAAACATCAGCCACAAGAGAAGTCACATCTGGATCCAGAAAAGCTGGGTACTGATGGAGATATAAGCAATTTTTATTTCATGTAATCATATTTGTTTGAAGAGCTGTCACTAAACAGTTGGACTACTTGCCAGGGTAAAGACTAATTGCATGGATGAAGATTCCAGGGACAGGTTTTCTGCCATGTTTAATGAGAGACCACCACAAATGCATGGACTGCATATTTTTACAGGGGGTCACTCTCCTCCCTGCATAAACATATCCAGCTTTCTTGCTGGAACAGAGTTAGGGGATATTTATATCTGGAGGAAAGCTTTTTAGATGCAGTTTGTCACCAAACCCTCAGTGCTTCGTGTGCCTTTTAGCTGCAGAGGCAGCTCAGAGGGAGCAGCAGCCTTCCCAAGGGGCTAGGAGAACCACAAAGTTTCTGCAGTAAATCCATCCGCTTCTTTGCAAGAGCCATTTTTGACATGAGCTGAAGTTGTAGTGGTCAAGAAAAGTGGCTATTTTTCACTCCTTATTAGTGTGCTGGAAATTCATATAACAAAAAGTACTGATTTGTTCAGAGAAAGGTGAGAAAGAGTAAAGAGAAAGATCAAAGAGTTTAGGGTTTGGGAGAGTTTGTGATCCAGGTGTTGCCTTGGGCCATGCACATGACTATTAGTTTATAGCCTTATGTTATGTTTCCATTTTAGCCTTAAAATTCAACTAAATGAGATGCTGCTTTAACTTCTAGTGAGACTTTATCACATTTAAGGAGAGAAGTTTTTTAAAGGGTTAAGAAGACAAAATGGGCAGTGACAGAAGCTTTTAGACTTTTTCAGAAGTCTTTTTGTTTGTTTGCCTTCTCCTCTTTGCAGAACAAGGTGGCTCAGCTCACACTCGTTTTGATGCGAGGTTAACCACAAAGTCGGGGGCTTTTGTGTAAGTTCATTACACCAGGTCCTCAAGCCACTCCATTCAACCTGGAGATTGGACGAAATGCTTCCAGTTTCACTCATTCACAAAGACATATGAAACTGGGAAATCTTTTGACAAGGAAGACATTTATAGGCATACTGTATGTATTTATACATATTTGTACATATACTTGAAAAAAAAAATCAAAGTCACATTGTGTTACTGCTGTGCCAGGAAATTTGCCACGAGCACCATGCTGCTTAAGATTTTTTATCAATCAATATTTATTTTTCCATTCCCTTCTTCTGAGATTATTTTCAAGAAACAATCTCCCACATCTCATGGCAGCAAATGCCAGCAAAAGAAGGGGCGTGAACTCAAAGCTTAAAGGTTGACTCCAAGGGAAACAAACACCCCCACAAGCCTCCTGTTCAGCCTTGCTCCCCAGGGGCTACGTGCTGTCATGGTCATTCATACTGCTCAGAATACCGAAATTCTTTATCTATGTTGTTTAAGTGCAGAGTGGTTTTTCGTGTTCACTGCAAGATGATCTGCCTTTCTGTAAAGCCACCTTCTTTCAAACACAGGTGTTATTAAATCTGCAGGAATCCATAAAGACTTTTGGGACATTTTTCTAAAATGTCAGGCCTGTGTATGTTCCCCGTTCTGTGATTCAGACCAGTGTAAAGGGCCATAATCCACCCGGCTGAAGTGGCTCACCGCTATGATTCATATGCTTGATACACATAGCCAGAAATCAAAACGGTGCCTACCCCAGAAAGGATTTTAAGTGATTTTTTAATGCCTGGCCTAAGGGTGGGCTTTCAGCTGCAGCATGATTCTTCTGGCTAAGATGAGCTGTTTTAGGCCTGCAAGTGCCTTGCTGGACTGGCGCTTCCTTCAGGACCACGCGGTGCCATACCCAGGGTGATGCCCTCTCCAGCGGTGTTTCTCACCTAGACTTAGCAGCCGACACTGATCACTCAGGCAAATTTTTGACAGGAGTTAAAAAAAAAAAAAAAAGAACAGAGATTTCTTCACAAAATCTCTTCCTTCTTCACCAAGGAATCTGGAAGCTCTGCCAAGCCCCCTTGCATTAACTTTGTGGTCCCCGGAGGTGTTAAACTGGCATGTGTCTATTGATGGGTGAGTGATCCTTTTAAGTCCGCTGCTTCGTCTCCACTTGTGGAATTTGTTGTGCCAGTGGGACGAGGCTGGCTATAAAACCCCGGCGCAAGGGACCTCCGTCCCGCTCCGGCAGCCTCCAGTGGCGTCTGTGGTGGGAGCAGCCCCGGGGACACTCACACACTCGTCGCTGCAGAGTGCTGCCCACAGAGAAGCATGGATGTGAGGGTGGCCTGGGTGCTCTGCGCACTCTGCCTGGCCACTGCGGCCGGCGCCTTCACCCAGCAGGGACTCAAGGAGATTTTGCTGAAGCAGCTGGGGCTCGTGGAGGTCCCTAAGCTTCATAAGAGGGACCTGGTGAACCTGGTCATCCCAGAGCACGCGAAGAACAAGTACATCTCCCTGCTAAAGCGGCACCGGGTGAAGCGCAGGGCTCTGCCCAGCCTGGCCGGCATCCTCAGGGGAATCCCAGGCAACGCAGGTAATGCGGATGCAGGTAGCGCGGATGCAGGGCTTGCCCCTCCAAGCCTCAGGGCGAGCAGAAGTAAACCCCCAGCCCGTGGGAACCTTGAGGCTGCCAGTACGGAGCGCAGACCTTGCAGTTCTGCTCGAAATGCCAGGACACCGCACCCTCATAGGAATCGCACCTCTATGAGGCTATTTCAGTCCCCCTGATCTTTTATTACTATTATTTTTCTTTTTTTATTATTATTTCCTTCTGGGAAAAATATCAACAAGAAAATAAGCCTCACTTTTCCAGTGTCTGCATAAGAATACTTAAGATTTGCTTCATTTCCAGAAGGGGCATGTAGCATTTGGGGCAGCTAGTGAAGCACTTTTTGTTGCTCTTGGTGCAGTTTTTAGTTTCCATGCACAGCGGTGCCCAGAGAGATGTGTACCTTCCAGTGCTTGTTGGTCGTGGGTTGAATTGTCTAGGAGACTTCTTCCCAGTGTCCCCAGGTTGCAGACACCAGTGCAGAGAAGAAGAATTAGGGCATTTGCAAGACATTGGTTCAAGTCTGCATTAGAAAAGGTGTGTTTAGCGGCGACACAAGGATCATGTTGGGCACATGGAAGGAGTGTGTTGTGATGATAATTGGGCATGAAGTGGCAGGGCTTTGCTCATGGCAATGACAGGCTGTCTTTTTTTGTTGTTCCAAATATACACAGATATCCCAGGAGAAGTTCTCTACTCCGATACCACGCGCCAGAATCTCGTCTTTGACATGGAGGGGAGAATACCCAAAAACAGTGAAGTGACTTTGGCTGAGCTGAAACTTTTCAAAAAGCCCCTGGACCGATCCAGCCTGCCTGCCAGACACTCCCACCGGTCTGTCTCCAACGCCAGGGTCAGCGTATATTGGGTGCAACAGCAGCTCGATGGGACCAACAGGACCTCCCTGATAGACTCCCGGTAAGGAAGGGACCCCTCCTGGTGGCTGGACTGCACCTTGTGGCACATCAGCTTCCTGGGCATGTTCAGTTCTCAGGTATTTGTGCTGCGGTCAGCTTGATGCCGTTGTGTTTGTAGAATCAGACTCTCTAGCCTCTAAACCCAGACTGAGCCCCTAGGAACAGATATTAGGTTAAGACAACAATATACAATATGATTTGTTGAAATGATGTGTTTCTGTTGCAAATGGTAGTGTGCAGTGCTGGGGCTTCCTCTTTAAAAACTTCCATCTGATTCACTTACCTCTCTCTCTCTTCCACCAGTGGGTTATTGGTTGATGGTATTCTTTCTGCTGGCATTTTGCTGACTATTTTAAATAAGTAAATTATGCAAAAAGGGTCTGATTCTGCACCCTTGAGCTCTGTGAAAGCTTTGCAAACCTTCAAGGCAGGATTAGACACCACATGAGTTTTCTGGGAGGATAGAAGCTTATGGCCTTAGTGCAGTTGGGATATAAGCAGCTGGTAGAACTTGTGTTTACCAGGCCGTAGTCAAGAATGTTGCAGCTGCATATGATCCTGCACTGCCACATTGCTGTGCTAGCTTGAATGAGTACCATGACATGAGAGCTTGGTAAGAATTTTATTTAGCTCTCCAGTGTCTGCTCGATTTGCGTGCTTTGTCTCTCTCAGAGCTATTAGTTAATTGCCCTGGACACTTGCCCCTACTGCTCAGCAAGAATTACCCCATAGTCAAGGCAGGCGACAAGCCACAGGAAGCAAATTATTCTGTTGCAATAGCGCTGTGAGCCCAGGTGTTGCCGATGGGCTTTTTTCTCCAACGGAGCCCTTGTCACACAGGCTGGTTCCCATACGAGAGTCGGGCTGGAAGAACTTCGATGTGACGCAGGCTGTGCACCACTGGCTGCGGAACAAGAGGCGGGAGCCAATGCTTCTGGAGGTGTGGATCGAAGGAGAAAGAGTAGGCAGCTATGCTTCGGAAATGGCCAAAGCCGTGCGCTTTACCTCCCAGGACCCCACGGATAAAGCCTTAGGCAAACCTGAACTGGTGCTTTACACCCTCAACTTGGAAGACTATGGGTATGTATGAGGACTAAATCTCCCCAGTGTGACTTGACCGCTAAATTAAAGCATAGTGGGTGCGAACCCTGGCCACGCAGCCCTTGCCCTCAGAAGCAGTCTGCTGGGGTAGCTACAAGTTGCTACAGAATCCTACCCACTCTTCCCAGATCCGCTTCTGCAGTCCAAGCGCTTGGACTAAAGGCGAGTGGGACACAAGCCTTGCACCCAGTTAGGAGCGGGCCTCTGCTCTCCACCATCCTGCCTTGTGGTAACGTCACTCTTGCTCTGTTTCCTCTGCACGCAGGGGCCCCGGGGACTGCAAGGAGGAGGGTGCGACGGGCAGGTCCACGTGCTGCCGGCAGAAGCACTACATCAACTTCCGCGAGCTCTCGTGGACGCAGTACTGGGTGATCGAGCCGGCAGGCTACCAGGCCTACCAGTGCGTGGGGGGCTGCCTGCAGCCCGGTGGGCTGCTGCAGCACCTGGGCTACAGGCAGCGGGCCTGCGCTGCGGCGGAGCCCTCTGCGCTGCCCATGATGTACCTCATCCAGCGGGGCAATCACACGGAAATCGAGGTGGCTGAGTTCCCCGGCATGATTGTGGAGCGGTGCAGCTGCTTGACAGACAGCATGGCCCTGGTGTAGGTGCGGGCGGCCCGCGGCTCCCGCAGGACGCAGTGGGACTCAGTGAGTCCCTCCCTGCCCGAGCCTCCCACGGCCCTGGCCCTATGGCCCAGTGGTGGTGCCCGAGAGCAGCACAGGGGCAGCATGGGCCAGGATGAGTATCATGGAATTATGGAATCCTTATGGTTGGGAATGACCCTCAAGATCGTCAAGTCCAACCATAAACCTGCCACCACGATGCCTGCTAAACCGTGTCCCTAAGCACCTTGCCTACAGGTTTCTTGAACAGTCAGGGACGGTGACTCCACCACTTCTCTGGGCAACTTGTTCTAATGCTTCCCTACCCTTTCCAAGTAGATTTTTTTTCCTATTATCTAACTTGAACATCCCCTGGTGCAACCTGAGGTTCTCCTATGTTGCCTGTTTGCCTGCAGAGAACATGGTCAAGGGCACTGTCCCTACAGACAGGCTCAGAGGTGCATCAGGCCTCAAATACATACATGTGCAGGGCAGTAAAATATACCTACAGATATCCCTGGGCCAGTGCTATGCCAACGTAATCCCATTTAATTGGTGGAACTATTTCGGATTGATGTCAGTCCAGAGCATTGCAACCAGCTGCAGACAAATGGAAGAACGACAGTGATCATTGCTAGGTGAGGAGCTAATGCACGGCTTCAGCTTCTAAGCCTGGGCTTCTGGTGCTTTGTAGTTTTGGCCATGTCCATCCAGGTCATGTTTACTGTGAATTGTAAAGCAGAAGCACTTACATGTATATATTGTACACACAAACACACACAGCATATGAATATATATGTACATATGCATTGTATATGCATATGTATGTACATAAAATATCGTCTAGAACTCAAAGGAGTATATTTTTGTCATCTCTGCTATGGGCTTAGCACAGTTTTAAAGCCGAATTGAGAGTCCCAAAGTCAATGGGAATGCTACGATCTAGGTTTGCTCACATGAGTAATGGTTTGTAGAATAATCAAGCCTTTTTTTTCTGGTCTTATGTTACAGTTACTTCAGTTTAGGCATATTGTGCTAGTCTTACATGCTTTCAAACTTAAAGAAGCATTAAAATGTAAATATTGAAACATGTGCTTGCTTATAATTATTCTTATGTCTGAAAATGGAGGGGAAAAACTCTAATATTTCTGAATGTACTCCAATGTCAAGCTCCTATAAACACACACAAGTAACTCTTCTTCCCTGTTGTGTGTATGATTCTGAGTGTGCGTGATAAAAATTAACTGCTGCAGTGCTACCACAGAGTGTGCAGACAATAAACCAAAACTGTCAGCCTGAAAGATATGAGCGGCCTCCATCCCCACCACTCCTAGGTAAAGTTAATCCTGACCCTTCCTCACCAACATCTGCTTAACTGTGGGCCTTACACTGAGTGCTTTTGCAGCCCTCCTGTTCCTCTGCTTGGAGCTGGGCATGCGCATGACTGCTTGCAGTGGTAGGACAGCAGGGTCAGGGCTGGTGCTGGCTGTGAACTCGAAGCCGCTATCATTGCCTTTCCCGCAGGATGAGCTGGGAGGTCCTGGGGGACGTGCTCAAGCATTCTCTGCACACAAAAGTTTTTCTCTGGCCTGGACTCAGGCAGGACAGGAGCCCTTTACTGCAGCACAAGTTTCTCCTCTCCATTACTGTCACACTTCAGGAGCAAGAAGAGAAGTTTCGAGCTGCAGTAGCTGAATCAAACCGCCCTGTCTGATCTTCCCACATTTCATTTGAGTCAAGGCTGTTCTCCCATTTTCCTTAAAAGTCCATGATAAGTTGCACCTCTATCCTGCTGGTGAGACCTCATTTCTTCTCACTCTCTCCCCCGCCACCTTTTGCACTTCACAAACTCCTACGAAGAGTGTCTGACACTCAGCCTTTCTGGGTGTCCTTCTGATTGCTGCTGTGAGCAGGGTCACATGCTGAATCCACATCGAGCTGGGATGATAACCAGGAGGGCTGCTCTGGCTTGGCTGAGGACAGCTGGAGTCTGGGAAAGGGGAGCAAGCAGAGAGTGGGGTGCAGGGAGGCATCCAGACTGCTGTGTGATCCTCTCGCTCTATGATAGATTTAAGGAGACGTTTAACCGCCTGTTTTAGTATTCTCTGGGTTTTGTCATTCATAAGGTGTGAAACTGGCTCCTGTGATGAGCACTGGATTCGCAGCCGGGTGCCCGTGCTGCTCCAGGCCTTCACAGAGCTGGTGCAGGAGAGCGGATGGGCTGCAGTAGCTAAAGCAGCAGGTGGAAAAAGGCCAAGGAACAGGCCTTAACCTGGCAGTAAACAGCGAGTTATGTGAAGATGCTGGGGAATGCAAGTGCTGTCACCAGGCCACGGATCACACTCTCTTTTTTTGTGAACTACAGAATCACATAATGACATGGACCCATGGAAGGGCTGAGGCTGGCAGGGACCTCTAGGACCACCTAGTTCAACCTCCTACTCACACAGGGTCACCTGGAACACATTGCACAGAATCATGTCCAGGTGGGTTCTGAGTATCTCCAGAGAAGGAGACTTCAGAATTATTGAGTCAGGGACTCATTTTTAGCTCTTTTAAGGACATTCCTGTTTACTTGAATTTTTCTGCCTACTTTTTTTCTTCCTTCTATTTCTATTTCTACTTCTTTTTCTTCCTTCTTCCTTTCTTCCTCACCTATATTTTCATTCCCCTTAGAGTTCATTTTCAGTTTGCTACAAATGAACACAATCGGGTCTCAACTGCTTTTCCTCAGGCAACTGCCAACTTCCAGTTCCATCTCTGTCACCCTTGGGAGGTCTCAGCTGCCTTTCGAGCTCCAGGTGTTGTGCAAAGCCCCAGTTCCTTGTGCCAGCGCATGCAGGGAGTCTGGCAAACCCTGCCCAAGAGAAAGGGAGGGCAGGAAGTCGGGCTGGTTGCCACCTCCCTCTGCTTGCCTCCAGGAATTATGGTAATCCGCAAAGTCGCTGTAATTAACCAGTCAGAACTGAAAGCAAAGGCAGTTGTGAAGCAGTTGTGTTAACTAACCAGGGTGCTGTCCTTGACATCTTGAGGTAAATGTTTCACAGGATCCTTTAGAATTTAAAACTAGCACCTTACTGAAAACAGAAATTGTTAAGAAACATACCTTTCAAATGTCGAAATTCTTGAAATCTTTGGTAAGAACAAATTTCAGTTGGATCGAAATGATTAACTGCAATCTGTACTGTTTCTGGAAAAGGTAACACTGTTTGATCATGACCAAATATCCCAGCCCTGCAGCAACAGCATGTGTGTGTGTGTGTGTATGTGTGTGCGCGCATGTACCACATGGCAGAATCAGGGTTACAGCCACGTGTTTTTTTTCACCCGAAGTGCTGTTGCATCAGCACTGCCAGAAACAGGACACAGCCTCTCCCATTAGCTCAGTGCCACCTACAGCAGCAAGTGCAGAAGTTGTTTTACTAGGAAAATGAAAGGAAGAAACTCCTGCACATGCTGGGTGTGTTTATTCCTACTGTTGGCAGAGCCATGCTTATGACAAAACTCTCCTGTGGCTCTACTAACTCATTTATGTGTCTGTGTTGCAAAGACGGACCTATACGTGAGGAAACTAGGAGCCTTTTTACTGATGGATTCCAGCTGTTCCCAGGTCTGCTGGTGGTGATTTTTCTAAAACTTCCCAAGTTGTTTTTCTGCCCCTCACTTTAGGAAATTAGGCAGTCAGTCCTAATGGTACTGTGCTCCTTGTGAACATCAGCTCCTCAGTACTTCTTAAATCACTGTGAGATACCAAGAGGGAAATCACCAGTGGAAACCAAATTGTTGTGAAGTCAAGACTGGGATGTTTGATTTTTCTGAAGTTCTTGCTTCTGGGCTGACAGGGACGAGACTAACACTTTTCTGTTAGCAGCAGCAAGTTTCTGGTCCTCTGTGTCACGAAGCCAGAAAATCAGTAAATAACTGATTTAGCAATGAATGCTCCTGTTTGATGATGCTGGGTGGTCCAGAAAGCTGGTTTTTGCTTGTTTGTTTGTTTTTCCTGGAACTGGAGTGCTGATTGATCAGTAGGCCCAAGGTTTGTTAAAAAGCATCAGAGCATGACAGAAGGAAATAGCAAATTCTAATTCCAAACTTGCCAGCCAGAAGCAAATGCTTATCCAAGCTGGACATTTCGCCTGAGGAACACCCTCTGCCCTTTTCCCAACATGCTCATTTTTGTGCACATTTGTACTTATCTCCAGCCCTTTTATACAGATGGCATGAAGCAACGGAATGCCCTTCCTTCGGCTTCCTCAGGGCTATGTGAATGCACTCAAAGAAAGACTGTGCTTGCATCAAGGGGGAAACAGCCTAGGCAAGAGCTGCTGCCAGCACCCACCATTAAACTGGCCTAATCTTATTTATTTCATAGTAGTCTTGTCCCATTACAGAGGATCTTTCTCTGCTTTCAGTGTTCACATAACTGAGTGCACTCCTGCCCAAGTGATAAAGGTGCCTTTAGGAAAAGAGCAGGACACAATAAAGGTTTGTCACAGGAGGCAGTAGGAAAGGGCTGGCACTTTCATGTCAGCACAGCTTCATTGTGCTCAATACCCTCCATTCCCCTTTTCTGGGGAAACAAATTTGCAAACAAAACAGTCTCCCTTCTTCCCAAGGACAGTTTGTCCCCTCGTGACTCCAGGAAACGTGATTTTCAGCATCAGATACACCTGGAGGTGCTGGAGTCTCATACAACAGTGTAACTAATAGCACTGCAGCCACCTCTCTGTCCTCTTAAATCCTAAGATCCTGACGAAGCTTAAACTGGTGAATGCCAGTATGAAACTTGGGTAGCCCAAGGAGACTTTTAACCAAGTGTCCCCAAGATATATATTATTATTTTCTACCTTGATGGAACTTTATTTCATCACTCCAAATATGTTTACAAATACGTAATAAGCTTTAAACCCATCTTACGAGTAGAACAAACTAAGGCACATCCGTGTTTTTTCGCTTGCTGCAGCACGAGCTTCTGCCTGACGAATACTGTGCTTCCTGCCTTCCACAGCAGTGCTTCATACCCCCCTGCGAACCCCCCCTGAGCTTACTCAGAACACGGCTCTAAAACCCAGCTCCAAAGAGCTCCCAATCCACCAGGTCTCCTGCAGCCCGGGGCACAGCGACACCTGGTGGTACGAGGTCCCTGTGGCCCCAGGTGACTTTCACAGGGATCAAAACACATCCGTTTTAACAGCTTCTCTACAGAGTCTGTCGAGAACAAAACCCTAAAATCTGAGGTATCGAGTTAAACACTTATGAGCCTCTCAAGGCAGGTGGAAGCTACATCCACAGTCATGCGAGCGTGCTGCCCTTCCAGCACTGTCCTCAGCACCGCACAGGAGACCACCACCAGAGTGCACGTTCATGTCTTTGCAAGACTATCCCTTTGCTTTTACCCTTGGAAAGCTAAAATAAAAATTAAAGCCTACCCTAGAGTTACCTTTCAACCTCAGATGATCATTCTACATATTAAATGTACTTCATTCTTTCTATTATATTAAGAACGTAACTCTTCCTTCAGGTACTTTTCAAGAAAAGTGAAATAAGTAAATTCCTTTATTTAACTTCTTATAAAGGAAATACTTACATCAATTAATAGCTGTCATACTGATATCTGACACATCACAAAAACCAGAAAACAGTTCATTTATTTATATTAACCTTTTCCATATAAAAATGTTCTCTTTATCAAGTTTAATGTTTGCCATTGGACAGTTGTAACTGCATTAACTGCAATAAACATTACAGGAGGTTCGGTATAAAGCTAAGAAAGGATTGCTATTTTTCTTAAAATAGGTGATGACAATGTCATACATTAATTTTCTAGAAAAACAGTCAGGTTACTTCTTTCCACCCACAGAGAGTGCATTTACCTCTTACATTAAGCCTTTATAACCTTTTGCAAAGCATATCAAAAGAAAATAGTTTCACTCCTTTAATACTGAACACATAATTATCCAGCAACTTACTCTGTTTTACATTAATCAAACATCATTAAAAATAGAAACCAGAAACTTCTTAGAGATGCCAAAGAATTCTAGGTGGCAATTCAGAACGACAACAGAATAAGGAAAATCTAAAAGCATTCAGACACAAAATAATTGTAAAATTCACTTTTTTTTCCCTTTCGAGGGCTTTGCGAATAAGGCAGGATCAATCTGGTCTCGAGAGAGACCTCTCACTGAGAAAAGTCTTGTTGCTCTTTCCTGTAAAGTGCCCCCACATTTCAGTCCTAGAGCCATCAGCTCCAACTTCAGTTTCTCTAATCCCAGCACTTCCATCTCAGCGGCAGAGCTGAAAGCCATGAGGTCTATCGGTTCCACCTCCTGCAAAGAGAAAAACATCCCATGACTACGACTATTTTATCTTCTTCCTGAAAACAGCAGCAGGCAGTAAGGAAACAACTTGCAGACAAAACCCTTCACTTTAGACCTCTCCTCATGTTTAGCTGTGCTGCTGCACTTCTGCTCCTCACAGTGCTCGCACTAGCTGGTTAATTAAAGGTTTGCTCTAACAAGCCTAGACAAGCTGCAGATGTCCTCAAGGCTGCTGTGTACACTGCTCCCAAGAGAGAAGCCCTGGCCATTTTAAATGATGTAAACACAGTTGAATTTTTAAAATTGTCCCACCAAGATTAGCACATTCTACTTCCAACACATAAATAAGATTGAAATAAGAGATGTTAAGTGTCAGTATTTTAATTCTTTTCCTCTGAAGATGAAATAGTAAAAGGTAGTTTTTATATCTAGAGAAGTTAAGCACTCCCAAAAAAATGAGTTGAAATAGGTAAGCTATCATTTCACCTAGCAGTTCAGTGGCTTAAGCTTGGTTCCCAGCACCATGACAAAGCTATCGGTCTCCTTCTAATCAGGTGTAGACTATAACCATATGGCCCTGAGCTTGGTAGGAAAGGGGATGAACAGTTATTATTTCTGAAGCACTTACATTGCAATTATAAAAATATATCTAAAGCAGCCTCTTTTTAGTAAGATTGTACAGAACAGAATTTCACATCTCATCTTGACACATGAAAAGGGAAAAAAAATATGAATCCTAACATAAAATTGATGCATTCACAGAATCACGCAAAAGCTGAGGAAGGACAGGACCTCTTGAGACGGTCTGGTCTTGGCCCTTGCTCAAAGCTGAGTCAACTAGAGCAGCCCTAGTCCGTATTTCTTCAAGGACAACTCAGAATGGTGAAAGTTAGTAACACCCACTAAAAAAGTACAAACCTAGGCCCATGCATCGCACACTTAAGCGCCTATTATCCTTCTGATAAGTAACATGCTGAAGTTATCAGAGGGACTTTAGAGCAAGTAACACGAGCAGTGGGAATGAGACAACTCAGTTACTACCTTGGCAAAAAAATAACTGCTAACAGTATGAGAACCTTTGTCCCTCAAAGCACACACAAAAGACTGGTTAGCTCATTATTCCAGTCCTACTTTTACAAAATCTGCCAAAGACTGTTACAAAAACATTTCCCCCTCAACAGCAATCTGCCACAGCACTGGTGGAGTTTCCTGTTCTAAGAATAGATAGTCTCGCAAATACTGAGCAAAAGGCAAACACTAGAGAACAGTAAACATCCAGTTCAATGTGTGATAGTAGTAGCTCCAGTAGTACAGGACATGACAAAGTTCTAACTTCTCAGTTTACATCCTTGATTGTTTTCTCCCTTTTAACTCTATTAAGTTTTCCTTTCACTCATCTGAATTCAGTCACTGGCACCTGGTAGAGACTTTCTGCTCAATTCAAACAGAACCAGAAAACCCAAGCACCTCTCTACTATGAAAACAAAGACAAACTTTGTTTTATTGAGAGAATGAGCCTGGATTATTTACACCTCAAAACTTCAGTAGTAATATTCAGGAAGCGGCAATTAAGGACAAGTATTGGCAAGTTTTACCACTAAATACTAGCTGGCCGCTCACCAGCTCAGTGGGAAAAGCCGTGCTCTCTCCCAGGGGGAGGATGCAAAGCCTTTTCAACAACAAAGCGATCCCATCCAGCTACCAGCCATCAAAGGAACAACTTATGGTCAGTGTAGCTCATTAAGAGTTGAAAAATATTTTCATTGCTGACAAAGATTTTAAATCTACTCTTCCACCATCCTTAAAAACTCATATGAAATCTTTCACTTCCATTAATTTTATCCCTTTAATGAAGAAGCTGCTGCTAGAACTGAAGCTTGAGCCAGACTGGCAGGGTTCTCTATGAACTAGATTCAATTCTTTTGCACATACAAGAAATTAAGAGCGATCATCTGATTGGTTTAGGGGGCTTCTATTTGGAGCATCCTCCATTTTAAACAATGTGATCCGTGACAAACATTTAGATCAACCTATGCTTTAAGTAAATTCACTAAAGTTAGACAGTGCTTGCTAAAGTCTCAGAAAGCATGGAAAGAAGTCTTTCTTACTATAGAAGAGGGGTTTTTTTATTATTATTATTCTAAAGTCTCAGAAAGCATGGAAAGAAGACTTTCTTACTATAGAAGAGGGTTTTTTTATTATTATTATTGTTTTACACTCTTCCCCTTGAATAGAAATTATTAGGCTTACACTGTCTAATTATGCAAAGATGAAAAAAAAGGGGGGAGAGGAAGGGGAGGGACAAGCACCTCAGCGGAAACTCAAGACTATTAAAACTGCAACTCACAGATTTAGATTTAAAGTTATAGATTTAAAGTTGTCCCTTGATCCATGCTGCTTAAAATTTCTCAAGACTCTGCCACTATGCTACAACTCAGGTATCACCATGGGGAAGTAACAGGGATCAGTGAAGACACTGTCAACCAAGAGCCTTCTCTGGCTGCAGTTCCCTTTAGCTAAGATATTCCCTGCTGGAAGTAGTACCAGTGCATCTTCAGTTGAGCTACTGCCCCTTTCTAACCCTGGGATTTTATCAGCTCTGAATCATACTCTGGAGATTCTATTAACTGCTTAGGAACACTATGATGCTAATTCAGGCATTCGTATGTCCCGAACTAGTCAGAGGACACAAATGCCACCCCCCTTTTGTGGGGACAGAAAAAAGACATAGCATATGTTGTGCTGCTTTATGCTTACCGTGCTCTGTAACTGGTTTGTTTCCTGTGCCTTAAAAGAAACACTTTCTTGCTTTCCTTCTTTCAGCACTTCGGTTACTTTGTTTTTTTCCTGGGCATTTTCTTTCAGGGTCTTTTTCATTTCACTATTCTCATTTCTTGGAGTTTCAGCTTGCTCCCCTGTGCATGCCTCTCCTTGCAGATCTCTTCCAGGACATTCCGTATGCTCCAGTGGTTTTTCAGGATTGGTGGCTGACTGATACTTCACCGAATCCACAGAGCTACTTGAACACTCGTTTGGATTTTCAACATTTTCATTAAACCTGCTGCCTGATGGGCAACTTCCTCCTGATGCATGAGCGGAATTGTCTTCACTGTCGTCACTACATTCTGAACTGCCTGCATCATCCAATCCTTCCATTCCCAGCCTGGCACAAGCAATACAGCACAAATATTCAACCATTCTTTAAAGCATCACTTCTCTCTTTCCAATGTTGCTTTAGAAATGCACTGAACTACTTCAACGACTTTTTAGTACAGCTTACATTCTAAAGGGAAGAGCTGCTAATTTTAAATAGAGTGCAACACCCTCAAAAAACAGATATCTTTTCACAGCTTCCCAGAAGAAGCATGCAAGACCTATAGCTACCCCAAACACTATTGGAATCACTAAGACTTTTCCTTCACATTATACTAGTTAAAAAAAAAAAAAGATAGGGAAAATAAATAATTTCACATGCAAAAAAAAAGCACTGTAAATTCAATTAATTCATTAACAACAGGAGGACAAATGAAGCTAACAGCATAGAACCACACTAGAAGTCAGAGGGTGTTCCATTTTTTGTAACTGTGGTTTGTTTGATCCAGCTGGGAGAGAAGCAGATAAAAGCAGCAACATTTACTTTCAGTTCTCCAATTTAATTGGTTCAATTTACTCACTGCTTTTTAAGTCTGAGCCTCAGATAAAGATACTGACTGCTTGCTTACACATATCCAACCTTTACCTCCCGCTCAACACCTCACCAAGTCACAGTGCTTACCAAAAACATTTTCTTTTTCCATATTTTGTTCCTTTATTTACAGATTCATTTGACCGCTTTCGATTATCGCTAGTTTCCGGTGACACCACTTTGCTGGAGGTGGCCTGCAACCCTTCAAAGCAAAGTTAACATATGATTCATGCTGGTTTTAAATTCTACTTATAAATAAGTAGATTCATAAGTAATTTAAAACAGTAACTTTTTGTGGGGGGGAAATATTACTACTGCTGCACATTAATGGAAGCTCAAATGTTCAAACTAATCTCAGTAGCGACAAGAACTTTCTTCTAATGCTTTACTAAAGCACAGAATCAGCATTAAAATTGCATCTTAATTTTTTAACTTCTGAACTGGTATCTCAGATCCTGTATTCCATTCAGCCTAAAGCTTCCTTATCACCTTGCCAGCAAGAGAATAACAAGTTCAGAAGCTAAAAAACAAACAAACAAAAAAAACCACAAAGACCAGCAGCTGAAACAAAATGTTTTCTATTTCTATTCAGCATCTAGTTGTTAGGCAAAACCTGTTTAAATATTATATCTTCCCTGAAAACGATGGCATATCATTTTATTGCTGTACTAGCACCACTGCTTCCACAGAATTTTGCATTTAATGGGAGATACTAAATCACAGTACAACAAAGCATCACCTCACAATTTAACTGCAGCAGTAGTAAAGCAAAAAATATAAATTCTAACAAATTTTATTGGAATTTAAAATGTCATTCAACTGAAACACTGGCTGTCAGCAATTCTCTCTCTTTTTTCTTTTGCCTTTTTCTTTTTAAAAAAAAAAAAAAACTTTCATATTGGAATAAGTGTTTCTTTGTCTCCACTACTTTTTCATGGAGAGGAAAAAATAAGGGAAGTTAAACTTCACTACCTTTAAGGACAGAATCTTCTAGTCGTTCAGACATCTCATGGCACTGCTGCTGATAGTCCGGATTTGCAAAAAAGTGCTTTGGCTCTGCGAGTTTCCGTTGCAGCCTTTCCAAACGTCTCTGTTCTTTTTCTGCTTCTCTTTCTGCTTGCTGCTTCACCCATTCGGCCATCCTGAAAAAGAGAGATCCATAAAAGTAAGAGGGTTGCCAACATTTAACTTAACGTTAATTTGTCACTTTGCAATTATTGAATGTTTGCACTACCTTCTAGAAGAGAATGGTAAAAGATGAAAAAGAAAACCTAACCAGTGGATTTACCTCACAAATGCTCAGAGACTCTATTACAGAGTAAAGTCTATTTTCAAAGTCATAAACTGCAGTTAGGTCATGTTTCCCTGGTACTCTTGCAGCTTTTGACAGAAGAATTTTAAGACTTAGAAATGACAAAAGTAGGAGATGCAGACTAGTCAGTCAGAGGCAAGCTGCAATGCAATCACATCTATGTTGAGATAGAGGACAATTATAATAAAACAAGAACTCTCTTAACTTCCAATCTATCCATGTTTAAGATCTCAATTCTGCTTTGTATGTATAATGAAAAATAAAATTTCACTGCTACAAGAGCCTTCTATTCAAACTCTATTGTTGATACGGTTAGATTTCTTTATGAGTTTCTTAGAAAGTGCCTCACGCTTTTTCATGGTTGACATCTCGAAGTCTCCTTCCACTGAGATCTCGGCAAGCCTCTCTATTTGTTGTCTTTTCAATTTGAGCGCCAAGTGCCCGCAGCATAGATCCAAAACCTGACAAGAGAGGAATCAAGAATTAGCCAAACAGAAACAAAAGGAGAAACCTGGAAACATCATCCTAATCTTTCAAAGTAGCATTTGGGATCCTGACTGTCAGTCACGATGAGTTATTACAAAAAAATAAAACGCTAATCACAGAAAAAAAACACAGTCGATCCAACACAAAATTCAACCACAAAGCTGTAGCATTATTCAACACTTTAGCTCAATGGCTGGAAAATTCTGAAACCTAGATTTAAAAAGCAAAAAATCATTGATACCAATCACACACAACTACTCTGTTAAACCTGCTTCCCTCATCACTTTCTGTTTGGCAGAATGCCTATACTACCAGGTGCTGCATACTTGGTATCAACACACAGTCTCTGTAACACAGGTACAATATTTTGACAACACAAGTAGCCTGCTTTCGGTATCTCTTTGGCTCTTAAAATACTGACTTCCTGGCATCTAGGTAACTTTTCACATAAGAGTTTTCTAGGACAAAGTAATTTAAAGCATATAACTTATTCAAGTCACAGGCTGTTTGTACCTGGAATATTTACCTTGTGACCACGAACAAACTTTAGGAGCCTAAGGAACCAGATGCTTTTAAATATGGAATGGGTGACAAGAGTCACTTTGTTAGAGACTTCTGCTAGCAAAGCTAAGCTCAGCAGGGATGCAAGGATGTGCTCTGCCAGTGACAGTCGCTAGGTGAACAGCAGATTCCTTACTGAAGTCTCAGCTCTACACATCAACCATGGTTTTTAACTCACAAACTTTATTCAGGCACATTTACATGAAACCTGCTAACATACTGGTACTGCTACTGCCCATACAGTTTAAGGTATTTTTGTTAAACCAAGGCTCCAAATAACATAAAGCAAGAAAGCAACAAACCTCCTTTTCCACCGCAAAGCCTTGGCTCCAGGCTGTATACAGCTCCACTTTGCAGCGCATCCTCGGGATCAACCAGCTGCCCATTGCACTTCACATACAAACTTTCTTCAGGAATGTTCTGAAAGCAATAAAGTCTAGTCACACGATTGCCAGAAAACGAAATATGCGAACAAAATAAACAACTAGGCCGCAGGGCCGGCAAGGAGCGGCGGGCAG